GTGTGGGGGGGCCCTGCCTGGGAGAGCATGCAAGCCTGTTCACATCCCGGTGAGGGTAGAAATTAAAAGGAGAAAGGGAATAGTGTTTCTGATGGCACTTGAGGTTTTACTGAAGATCTACTACAGGTACTGAGGAAATAAGAGAAATATAAAACAATGTCTGTCTGCCTCTACTCCAAACGTGTGGGTTGATAAAATGGAAAAGACGGTTGAAAAAGAACCTTTCTGGCTTCATTTACTCCCATACAGAGGACTTTACCTTCACCGTGAAATTGTACTGCAGAGAAAATGTCTGTTAAATAAATGAATGCCTGGTGCTTTTCCTTCATAGGGAGCTTGGGATGGGTCTCCTGGGGGGGATACAAGCAAGAAGTGCCTGTTCTCAGAGACTGAGCCTACAGTGTGTGCGACATGATGGGGCAGAAGTGTACATTTAGTCTTCCGCTCTTTGTTTTGCAGCCATTTTACTGGACGTGGCTTTCGGTAAGACAGTTGTGCCAGATTTAGATGACTCGTAAGTATCCCCATGTTTATTAAATACTGTTTCAGTGCCTGATTCTGCTGTTCTCTGAATAGCAGAATGTGAGCTGTCACCATAATAATGGAATTCTCCTCTCAGCCATGGGAGCCTAGGTGGGAATGGCCAGTGCTCACATAGCACTGATGGGGTCCAGTCCTTCCATGCCCTGCTGATGCCTGAAGTCAGGCTCTGCTCCAAGCCCAGGCATGTGGTAGACCTTTCCACATCCTAGTGTACCATTCTACAGGCTTAGAGCGCTTTCCCTTTAATTGGCGATTCACGGCTTTCTGCCTTAATGATAAGGAGCCCTGGTGGCCTAGTGGGTTACCTGTTGGGCTGCTAACCACCAGGCCTGAGATTCAAACCCACCAACTGCTCCTTGAGAAAAAAGATGAAGCTTTCTGCACCCGAAAAGAGTTGCAAAAAAAAAAAAAAAGTTGCAGTTTCGCAAACCTACAGGGGCAGTTCTTCTCTTACTGTAGGGTGGCTGCGAGTCAGAATGGACTCAAGGGCCGTGACTGTGGTTTGGAGCCTTAGTGAACAGTGAATTGGGGGCTGGGTATCTTTTCTGCCTGCAGCCCTAGCCCCAAGACTGCTCACAGCAGCTGAGCGGGCCTGCAAAGAACCCTGTGCGTCCTTTCAGGCCCGATCCAAGGGAACCGCAAGGCTTTTCCTGGCAGGCCTCATGGGAGCAGCAGGGCCCCAGGCAGACATGCTGCCCAGCCAGTGTGCAGCAGTGCCTGGAGACAGGGAGCAGTCGTCCCCAACAGAGGGGCCGTTCCACCAGCCTTACACACACTTAGCTCTGCACTCTTAGCCAGCCCCTTCTAGTGGCCCTGCCTTCCACACTGACTTAACGTGCCTTGGTCCTTTCTCCTCCCTGACCCCTAACTGTTTAGGAGGTGGCTCCTCGGCAGTGGGCATATGGCATGTGCTCTGTCTGTGCTGACCCCTGCCCACACCTGACTTTTGTCCTGGGGGTGGGGTGGGGAAGGGTGGTCCGTGTGACACAGTTGAATGCTGGGGAGGGGCCGCCTCCTTTTTGCCTGCTGCTGTCGCTGTCTCAACAAGCGAATCGTCATCAGGGCTCTTGGTTTCTGTTTTGCGCACTGTCTTAATTGACCCCCCAGACACTGATTGCATGACAAGATGGTCCAGTGGCCAGTGAAGCGCCGAGTTGTGTTGAAGGAGCCAGGTAATGGAGGGTTCGTCTCAGGTGTGTGCAGAGGGTTTTGCACAAAGGCCTGGGCCCTCCCCCTGGGTGCCGTCCTCGGCCCACCCCTTCAGCCTTCGACTCCTTTGAACTCACCTGGTGCCTCCGTTTAAAATGCCAACAGAGCAACTCGGAAGAAATCTGGGAAAGCAGCTCCCTGGCTGCTGGTCAGGGCTTCCCTCTGGTGATGGGACCACACCCGGTCAGGCATGTCAGTTAAGCTGAGATGCCTTTGCCAGCAGCCTTGATGGCTTGACTTCCATAATGAGGAGGGTTATCTTGGCAGCTAGGGGTGCCACTACAGACCCCCTCTTCCCAGACGACCTGACAGGAAGCCGGCCTTTCCTTCCGGTGGGAGGGGATGGGGTGGGTGAGAGGCTGGGAAGGTAAGAGGGCATTTGAATCGCAGCTCCCCTGCCTCAGCTGGGTGCTGTTTGGGCTCTCGGAGCTCTGCACCACCTGCGATGAGTTTCTGCCGCTGAAGGACATGCCTGGACCACCCTTTCAGGTGCTAGTGTCCTTTGAGTCCCCCCGGTGGTCCCAGGTTCTACCATGAGCGACCGAGAACAGTTGACTCATGAGACTGTTAACAAGACTGGGATGTCTAGGCTTTTCTCAGGCCTGGAAAGATGAGCTGCAGCCAAGGTAGGAGGTTGCCCATCGGGATAGGGTAACCTGGGTGAGCCTTCCTACAAGCACACTGTTACTTCACCAGAGTTGGCGGTCGTGTTTGAAAAGCATCCTGCCAGGGCCCTGCTGGCTGAGGACTAGACCAGGGTCTGACTCGCCTACTGGATCAGGTCGACTCTGACTAAGCAACGTCTGTCCACTGGTGGCCACTGCCTATAGTGTCACTACTGTCCCTTCCACAGTGGACGAGCCCCAGGCGCCCAGCGACAGAACTGAGTGAGCCTGGGGTCAGGGTGCTGCAGGGTGGCCTCTCGGGACCTGTGCACAGGTGGACAGGTGGGACCTGTGCACAGGTGGCTCACTGCCACCCAGCGGCAGAATGCGAGGGAAGCAGGTGTTGCTCTCAGGTCCCCTGTCTGAGGAACTGGCCTCAACCCTGGTAGCCTGGGCCCCTGCAGACCCTCTTGCTGGTGTCCCTCTGCCGAGGGTGGTGTAGCCTTACTGGGTTGTCTTGGGCATAGCCACTCACCATCACCCTCCAGCTGGGGTGAATTGCTGCACTGGGCCCCTTGGGTAGGACTATCTTGGAGGGGCCGCCTGACTAAGATGGCGATGCCAGTGGTGGCTGGGTTGCACATGTGGGTACGTGTCCAACCATTAGCCCATGACTAGCCCACCTAGAGGTGCCTTGGGAGACAGGCCTGCGTGCATGGGGTCTTCATGAGTTGGAACAGTCTCCATGGCAACCAACAACAGCTCAAACAATGCCGATTGCGGTTTCTCCCAGAACAAAACTGGCTGCTGCCTGGGGAGGAAAGCCTTGACCCTCCTCGTCACTGAGGCGAGGGAGCCAGCAGTCGGCGTCTCCCTGCCTGCCTGTCTGCCCCCCCTCAGGGAGCCCAGCCCCCATTGTCACAGGCTGATCCACACTGAGGGTCTTGCTACTCAGCAGGAGGCTTCACAGCAGCCCATTTTGGCACAATCTCTTCATTGGGTGGTCAGGCCATTTGGCTTCCAGGTGGGAGGGTGGCAGTGCACCCTGGATGCTCTTTCACAAAATGACCTGCATTCCCCGGCCCTCTGCCTTCTCAGCAAGCGCATTCTAGATACTGCCCTCCTGGTGGGCTGGGACAGACACCACACCCATAAGCCTGGCTTCGTGGCAGGCGAGGTTCCTGGTGCAGCAAAGGAGTCACAGGGCTCATTCTGGAAGGAATGCCACCATCTGGCCTCCTCTGCCCCCAAATGTGGAAAAGACCCAGGGGCTGGGGCTCAGTTCCTGGCTCCCTGTCCCATGTGCTATAAGTGGGGCCCGACCAACTGGTACTGGAGGCCCTGCAGCAAGCCATCAGGGGCCCTTCTTGACCACATCCCCCGCCCCACCTCCCGCCCACATTTACTGTGTACCACTTTCAGCCTCTCAGCTTGGAAGCTGGTCAGGAAGTCCCCACCACAGGCAGTGGTGCCCACGGGGCTTTTGGACCTGTACCTGGGAGCTCCTAGACGTGGCAGAGGCATTAGCTGGGCTCTTCGTCTGCATCGTGGAACTATGATCTGAAAGTTGTCCTCTTCCCAGGAGTCTGTCCTGTCAGTGTGAGCAGCGGCCCGTGTGCCTGGCATCCTCTAGTCTCAGAAGTTCCGCCACCCCCTCCCAGCCCATGGGGGACCCAGTGGTGGAGACCCTCCAGACCATACTTGGGCCTGGTGTTGATGGCTCTACCCACTTAACCTTGTGCTGGGGTGCAGTGGGGGTGGCTGCAGTGGAGCTGGGAGAGCCTGGCCCAAACTGAGCAGGAAAGGAAGAAGCTCTGCTCATTGGCCGAGATCTGTGCACTGTGGATGGCTGCCTGGTGCACAGCCCCAGTGTATGTGGTTTCATTGACCTACCCACAAGCAGTGGCTAGTGGCTTGCCCTTGTGGTTGAGACTCATGTAAAGCCAGCCCTCCTGGGGAAGAGACAGTTGGATCCAAACCACCAGCTTTGCTCCTTGGAAGCTCTGTGGCACTTGGGAGAAGCTGCCACTGGTGGGGGAAACCTAACCAGTAGGCGGACCCTGCTGGTCGACTCTCTGAGGGGGCCACATGTCCAGTCCCTGTGTGACCCTGAGAGGTTGGCCAGGAACATCTGGAGCTGTCCTCCACGGCACCTGTCCACCCATGGACTGCGGAGACCACACAGCACAGTGAAGCTGCTTCTCCCACTAGACCTGGGTCAAGGCGCAGCCCCGCCCAGGAACAGATTCCCCTGAGTCAGCAGGCCAGCATGCTGTGGCGGATGCATCTGTCAACCTTGTCATCTATAGGGTCCTTCCACTTCCTGGCTGCAGTTGCCTCTTTCTCCAGATTTAGCCAGTCTTCCCAGAGTGCCCCTCTGACAGGCTACACAACCAGTTCTGAACCCAGAAAACCAACCCCCCTGGTGTCTGGTGGATACCTGTTCACCTCGGGCAAGACAGGAGAGCTGCTTCCTGGGCTTCCAAGCCTCTACGTCCACACAGAAGCCATGGCCACATCACAAAAGCTGGTGCATTCAAACTGCTAACCTTTTGGTTAGCAAGCAAAATGATTGGACCACTGCGCCAGGTCTCCTCTATCCAGGCCCTACAAGACCATATTCCTTTCCAGCTTGGGTTCCCAGAGCACCTTGTCCCTGACAGGCCCCAGGCTTGTGGCCCGAGTGACAGGTCAGTCAGTGGCATCATCATGGGGCACACGGCGGGTTCCTCCAGCTCCAGAAGGTAGTGCTTGATTGGTGGACATTGGGAAGCCGGGCTTTGTGACTGGTGGGCGAGAACGCCGGGCTTTGTGACTGGTGGGCGAGAACAATAGACCCCGCATGGTCTACACATCCCCAGCAAGCGGTCTGGGCTCCCCATTTCTGGAAAGGGCATTTCTCATTCGCATCATGCTTGACCAGACTGCACCTTCCTCCATGTGGACACCCCATGGTCTGTTCTAGCCTTTGTCCCTTGGCCGACTGAAGTCATGGTAGGGGAGAGGATGTTAGGATTTAGGATGGCTGTTAGATAACAAGGAGTGGCAAAACTCCGTGCGCCCCCCCCCCCCCAGCCCTGTTCTCCTGGGGCTCCTCCTCCGACCCCCCCTCCTCCACTCCCCCCCCCCCCCCCTCCTTGCTAATTTCCCCTGGGATTTTGCCTACAAGGGCCACAGAAATACCATCAATTTGAGGTCTGTGTTTAACCAAAGTCCTTAAGGTGGCCCTGATGCCTTTTCCTGACCAGCCCCATGGGATAGATAGGGATCCATGAACTGGAAACCATGATAGAAAATGCTCAGAAGACCCAAGCCAAAAGATCTGAGTTCACCACCCTGGGTGGCTGTCTGAGGGTGCTTGGCTGGCCTAACTGGAGAAAGTACACATGACAGTTGAGGGGTAGAGCCCCCTGATAAAGACAAGAGCACCAGAGAGCACTGTCGAGAGGCCGGGGAGGAGAGGGGAGCCCCTGTGACTCCCTCCGCCTCGCCACAGTTGTCAAAGCTTGTTTGGGGCAGTTGCCACAGCCCGGAGTGTCATCAGCTGTTGGGTATGTCTCTCCCTGCCAGATCCCACAGATATAAACCTGAGCTCGGTGCCACGGGAAACCACACGTGGTGCTTCTCTAGTTCTGCCTCTGCTACCCCAGGGATTTGCTGCTCCTGACCTGACACACACTGAAGCCCCTCCCAGAGTGCCAGCTGCTCCTATCTGACATGGCTCGGCCAAGTGTCTGGTGGAGGCGTCCTGAGGCCATTTTGGGGGGTGGTGTGGCCTCTGATGGTGGCAGTCTTGTCTTCCTGGCCGCCTGGCCCACCCCACCTCAAGTTTTCAATTCCAGGCGAGGACTCTGCCACTTGGCGGTTTCCAGCGGGTGGATGCATCTAGCCTTGGCCTTTTACATTCTTTATACCGTGTGTGCCCCCTCAGATAGAAGCCTTCCCCTGTCTCCCCCTAAGTGGGGGACATCCACATGTGGCATGTAGATGAGTGAGCCCTGTTGATTTTGAACCAGCCCCGTTTCAAGACCACCTCGAATGAGACATTGCCTGGTCCCTTCAAATCCATTGTGAGGCTGATGGCATTGTTCCTTTGTACCTAGGGCACGCTGTCAGGTTCACCCACCACTAACCTTTTCCAGCCCTGATTCTGCCTGATATTGGCAGAATTCTAGCCCTCCTCACTTCTAAGGACCATTCTACTTGTTTCTCTTCTAAGTCCGATTGCTCATTCTTCGGTCAGTCCAAGGCAGGGTCAGCCACACTCCGAAGACACCTATTCTCCTGTCTGTACTGTCCAACTGCGCCCACGTGCTGAGAGCTTGGGTCGGGTGCACCTTAGTCATCAGAGTGATGTCCTTGTTTGTTTGTTTTCTACTCCTTTAAAGAGGTCTGTATATGATACTCAAAATTGAGTGGAAAGAAAAGTTGGAGCCAGATCAGTCTGGGAGTTTGAACACTTTTCTGTAGGTTTCCAGAGGCTACCGAAGGTGTCACATAAATGAATCAAGTGATCAGAATGGGACTTTCAGGAAGCCTGTTTGCCAGTTGAGTGTTATGTCAGGGTGCTGAGACCAGGCTGGGGTTCAGTGATTGGTGTGGATTCTGGGTCTCCATGTCATGGAGTTCACAGGTTGATTGACTGCAGTGGAAGGCTTCCCAGCAGAACTGACTCTGGGCAAAGCCCTGAGGAGCCAGCCAAAGCCGGGGACCGTGTGTGTGAAATACAGTCTGTCAGGGACGCTGTCCAGCTGGTGTTCAGGGCCACCTCTGCCGAGCAGCAGGAGTCCAAGTCTCAGACTCCCAGGGGGAAGTAGGCATGTGGCATGAGAGCACCCTTGCCCCGACAGATGAGTGAGCCTCCCAGGCAGCACCCAGACCCACTGGGGGATGCCGGTGCTCCTGGTCATATCTGTGGAGGTGTGGCTAGACTAGGGAGAGCAACTTCCATGGGTCTTGGCCCACAAAGTCCCCCTTTAATTCGTAGTTGTAGATCCCTTCCTCCAAGTGTGTTGTTCTCTCTTCCTTCTCTACTATATTCTTGAAGCGGTTCATGGATAGGAGAAATTTCAGATAGGACACTAAAATTTTTACATAGCTTGTTGAAAAGGAGTTTGTTTTAGGCCAGTTCATTTATCAGCAGAAGTTTAAGGGTTCTAACCCACCAGCTGCTCCGTGGAGAAAGACGAGACAGGCTGGCTTCTGTAAAGATCTGCAGGCTTGGGGTCCCAAAGAGGCAGCTAGACCCTGTCCTGCTGGCCTTTGTGAGTCAGACTTACTCAGTGGCAACGAGTTTGGTTTTTACACTGTACTTGTGGGACGTGAACACAGGCATATACCGATAACCCACGATTTGTTTCTCTTTTTGTCTGTAGGTTTAAAGAAAGTCGCAAAGATGACATTTGGCTCGTAGATGTAAGTTGGCAAATTTTGTCTAATTATCCCTCGATGCTTCTAAGTGTCTTCTCTGTTCCTCTCACCCATGGGATGCATGTGCGCATGTGTGTGTGACGCCATTTGGTTTCTCAGGTGGCTGTCAGGTTCATGTAGTGAGTGAGCTGCTGAGCGAGCCTTACGGGCCCTAGCCAGGGGAGACCTGTTGGTGAGACACCCTAGTGGCAGGACCTGTATGGGGGAAGCAGGAAGCTGACCATGGTCGATTTCATCACAAAAGTCACTCTCCTCGAAGTGTTTTCCTGTCACGCAACAGCCAGCATTGTCTTCCATCTGAGCAAAGTGGAGATTGGTCCCCATCTCTTTACTTTGACATTAGGCACGCATTTGCACCTTACATGTTTGGGCTGGCTTTAAAATGGCCCAGAGAACAGCAGTAGCCTGGCGGCCAGAGGGGGTGACTGAGCAAGGCGATGGGGTTTAGGACCCTAGGGTTTACCTCTCCCCCCCATTTCTGCATGTGGGAAGACGTCTGTATTAAAATGTAAAAGACATCTTACCTCCTGAAAATGCCGCCAGCAGTTTGATAGGCATCACGCTGGGTGAGCGGAGGTGCCCTCCAGCCAACCAGTAGTGCTGAGGGGAAGCAGGCCCCTGGCTTCTGCTGGACTCGTGCACCTGACCAAGCCCACGATGGCCTCTGCCACGCCCATCAGCAGCTCCCTGGCCCTCCAGGGGCACTCAGCAACGGTGCCAACCGTAGATGGGTGTTTGTTGCTGACGGCCACGAGGCCTGACGGTGGGGTGGCCTGAGAGTGTGTTTGGAGACTTCATTGTGGGGTGCATAGCATGAATACTGTCATTTATACTAGAAGCTAATTTGTCCAGCTGTGTGGGTTTTGGTAAAACAGATTGTTAGGAGATTGAGCTTGATGTGCGCTGTGGGTTAACATTTTAGTGACTGGCTTTTCTTTTTCTCGGTACCAAGTTCTATGCACCATGGTGTGGCCATTGTAAAAAACTGGAGCCAATCTGGAACGAAGTTGGGACTGAGATGACAAACATGGGTTCGCCAGTGAAGGTTGGGAAGATGGATGCTACTACCTATGCCAGTAAGCCTTTCCTTGGTTCTTATTTTGCTCTTGTCTGCCTGCAAAGCTAATAAATCACACGCAGCTGCGTGCGGGGCCTGTGGAAGACATGCGTGTATCCTCATGTTGAAAGAAGGAGCTTTAAGCATGTAAGACTGTACCCTGATGGGTGAGAAGAGTGCTTGTTATAGGTCCCAGGTATGAATGTGCTACTCTGCCAGCTGCATTGAGCCTGCTGGAGGAGATAATTGACTCACCTGTGGAAGTGACAGAGGGTGGAGGGTTGGCGATCCCAACGAATTATAATGTGTCATATGTTATAGTATCCTAAGATGTCACGGTGGAGGATGCCTGAGAAATAGCTCAAGTGGGTGGTTTTAACAGATAGAAACAGAGTCCCTCACAGCTTGGAGAGGAAGTCTGAATTCAGGGTGCCCTCTCTAAGGGAAGTCTTGCTCCTTCCATCAGCTCTGGGGGAAGGTGTTTGTCTCTTTAGCACCTGTGGACTTGGGTGTTCCTTGGTACCAATTTTCTTTGGGTCCTGGGTCCTAAGGACACACTCTGCTCCAAGCTCTTCTTGCTTGGTAATAGGAGGCCCCTCTGCTCCCCACTAGCTCGTTTGATACCTTCTGTGTCTTACTGGAGTTTGACTGTTACAACTTAATCCTGTAGATTGCGTTCTGGCTCAATCGTATCATAGAGGTGAGGATATATAGCTCAGAGGTTAATGACATCAGATCACAAAAGCGGGAGTTAACTACATCATATAGAATCATGGCCTAGCCAAGTTGTCACCTATTTTCAGGGTACAGTTCAGTCCATTAACAGAGACTTAAATGGGAACTTGGAGGATAAGACCATCTAGGGCAAGCAGACATGATGATAAGGAAGGCATTCATGTTAAATTAGTACAACGAAACCATGAAATTGAAACAGGTTAATGATTGAGGCCACAGAATCAAGGCTCTTTATGCAAAGTCTGGCAGGTTAAGACCCATCTCCCAAATTTAGCCTCCGGCCTGTTATGCATAAGGCTGTATTGGGACACTAACTTGTTTTCTCTGGCCCTTTGTAGAAGTAGTTTGTCCAGGTCTGACTTAAAGCATCTGGGAGAAGGAAACCATGGAGGCATTGTAGATCCTTGGAAAGAGCTTGGCTTTAGCAGGCAGATGTGGGGCAAGCCCTGCCTCGGCCTCTTGCTTTGCCGTGTGGTAGCCGGGCCTCTCTCAGGCCCCTAAGCTTGACCTCCTTCATTGGTAAATACGGGATCCTAACACCTTTCTTTGTTTGCTCTGGGATTTGAAAGAAGTGGCCCATGTAAAGTCCCCTTATTCTGTTCGGTAAAAGTAGATTCCCATCACCTTTAGGCAGTCGAGGATCTGGAAGTGTTCAGGACTTCAAAGAGTTTCTGAAAAAACCCCATTGTCTCCCATGAACTTGAAGCTGCCTCATGTTTCTTGATAGGACATGAGGATTACCCATGGATTTTTCTTGGGAGCAGGAGAGACTTTAGGGACTGTACTCACCCTTCCATGTACCCCTTTTGTGGCTTTGGAAATGGACTTGGCCTCTCTAAGGGTCTGTTTCCTTGGTGTACAATAATACTTTAGGGTTGTATTAATTTTTTATGTTCAAATACCCATATTACAAAGGTCTGCATGAGGAAGGTGTTCAAGAGTAACATCGGATTACACACGGCCTTCCCCCTCAGATGCAGTGTTGTTTATTTTATTAGTTGCCAATAAGGATGTAGTATTCATTTTAGAGAAGCCAGGTGACATCATACAAATGTTTTTGCAGAGCGAGTAGAGCAGCTTAAGGCAGCAAGTGACCTACAGTACCTCTGAGCTTGTTGTTGCTTGGTGGCCATGGAGTGAAGAGGAAACATTACTTCTCAAGGTCATGTTTAAGGGTGGCCTCGTAAGTACCATGGCCTGGCACTGATAGGTAAGCAGGAGTGATTGCAGAATGACCGAAGGCTCTCGGCCGAGGTACAGAACCATACAGCCACAGGTCATATGGGGACAGTGACAGGGTTAATTTTGTGCATTTGCATCTACAGTAAATGTTTTGAATTTGTGACTTATGCTTAATGATGTTTGGAAATGGGGAGCTAGAGTGTAGGTAAGAGGATAGAGTTGGGATTGCCGAGTCACACAAATTCATTGTTGAAACCTTGAGGAGACTAGACCCGAGGGAAGAACATAGAGTAGAAAACAGAAGAGTTGGTCCCTCCTGAAACCGGCTTTTAGCAATAATCCAGTCTTAGAAACACACGTGGGTGCAGGGAGTCCCTATGAGTCTCTTATCTGGTATGGTAAAATAGGCCTATGGGTGTGATGGGAGTCATTGCTTATTATGATCACAG